TGCGCCTGCCATGAAATCTGCACCTGGAGGTTCACAAAGTGCTGCGCCTGCCACGAACTCTGCACATGGAGGTTCACAAAGTGCTGCGCCTGCAACGAAATCTGCACATCGAGGTTCACAAAGTGCTGCGCCTGCCACGTAAACTGGAGCTAGAGCTCTTGAAACTAGAGCTCACTGGATGATGAGTGGTGTCTGATGAGTGGTGTATGATGAGTGGTGTCTGAGGAGTGGTGTATGAACATGAGTGATGTCTGATGAGTGGTGTATGATGAGTGATGTAAATGTTCGTAACACAGAAGTTCCTTTAAACTTCCTTTGACAAGTCCTATGCTCAAAGCGCAACCTTGTATATAACAGTGAAGTAAACAGCGAAAACAAAAGACTCCCTGTATGCCTGCAGCTGGGAGTTGAACCGTATATCAAGCCACTACCAATTGCTAAAGCAAAGAAGAACTCAGCGCACTGCGGTCGTTGAGGTCAAAGCTTACCATCGAGATTTCAATGAAGTGGGATCAAGTGGGTATGGACATATACTTAAACTAGGTGCACTTTACCTGCGGCTATGGAGGTGGACGAAAGGTATAGAGCTTAGATAGAGCTTGGCTGCTTAGGAGCAGCAGCAGCAGCAGCAGAAGCAGCAGCAGCAGCAAGCAGCAGCCAGCAGCAGCAGCAGCCGCCTGCAGCCAGCAGCCAAGAATTCAACGAGGTGGTTGATGAACAAGAACTCGCCAAAACCCCAATTTTACAACTTTTTTCTTGGGGGGGAGGGGGGGAGGAGGGGAGGGTTGTGGATCGTTAGGTTGATATATCAAGCTTTAAGGCACGCAGCTCATCCCACTACCAATTGCTAAAGCAAAGAAGAACTCAGCTAGCATGCTAGCTTTCGTGATTTGGTGATTGATATGATCGTGTTCCCTCCTCCATCACGGCCACACTTCTCCTGCTTCGAGAGCACTTTCACTATGGTGTTTTCCATTGTGAAAGATATCCCCACCCGATCTGCGCTGGACATCCAGCGGGCACCCCGGCCGGCGCCAGCTGGACAGGCGTCACACAACCGGAGCCCATCGGTGTACCCACCTCGCTGCCGAAGCCGCTGTGGGCCACCTCAGTTCAGGCTGTTTCAAGGTGGTTCTGCTGTCCACAGTCCTTTGTCGCAGGTCAATTGATTCAGAAGACTAAGTTGGATCAGGATGGCTGCAGGAACATGATGGCTTCCCTCCCAAACACACTGCTGATGTAATTGATTCTAAGCCCTTGGAATGAGCGCGGTGGTTTCTAGTTACTAGTTCAAACGAATCTACAGCAAAACTAAACGAAACATTTTTGGGTGCTTGTTGGATCACTTTGCTTTCAGTTCTTCCAAAACTTCACCTCCAACCGGTGCCCCAGTTCCATTCGTCCACCGCTTCTGCCCAGCCACGGTGGAGGCCGTTGGGGAGGCCGAGGCGCTGTGCCAGACCTGTCGACGGCTAAGCATCGCCGTGGCGTCGCCGTGGCGTGGCCAGTAGAGAAGATTCTGCGCTGAGTGGGGGAGACTTAAGGAGAGACCTTTTCGTGGAGCTCTCCAAATGTTGGCGGGTGAATTTTCGAGGGCCCAACCCCCGCTCGCCCCATTGCCTGAACGATCCAGAAAGAGGGATCCATTGAAATCTGGTCACAAGGTGGAAGGAGATGGCAAATCTCGGCTGGCTCCCTCGTTTTGGAGTGGAACCATGAGCTTTCTGGGTTTGTCACCAAAACCATCCTCCCAACTGCAACAAGATGGGTTCCATGGAAGAACCTGCAGGTTCCACCTCTTCCCGGTGTGCCCCCTGGCGGGCGGCCGCCGGGGGGCGGCGATCATCGCCTGCGGAGGAGGCTCGAAGGGGTTGTCAAAGAGGTTCTCTGGCAGGGCCTGAGGCGGCGAAGAAGGGAAAGAGCTGCAGCTTTTGATGCATCAGCTATTGAGTCAATGACGGTCAATGAGTCTGTGAGAGCTAAACTAGGCAAACTGGACAAACTGACTTTGATCTGCTTGGCAAGTGCGATATAGGTGACCCCGCAAATCCCTTTCTGCCTACACTTCAATGAAGAGGGTAGGTAGATGTAGGGTCTGAAAGTCCCATGACCTTCCTCGAGGGAAGGCTGAAGCACAGCTTCACCTGGACCGCAGCCGCTGGATGTTTCAGGACAGGACCGATCGCGCAATCTGATCCCCTTTCAGAGATGACCGGATGGCACGGACCATCTAATGCATTCGAAGAGGGGATCTATGGGGATCCACTCTCTCTCAATCTTTTCGATCCCAATTTGGGGGTCGAGATAAATCCCACTTCGCACTGGACCGTGGCCTTGCGGCCTGGACCATGTGCGCCGATGCCGATCCGCCTTGGCCAGTCTGAGATCGGGACAGGGTACGGGCAGTCTTGATCCCGGATGGTGCTCTCCAATGCAATATTCCTGCACTGACGGACTGCTCAACATAGGATAGGCTGCAAAATCAGAACAAACTAGGAGAACCAGGAAGCAAACCATCACAACCACACCCCAGTTCACGTGTTGCCGTGTTTGGCCATGTCTGGCCCTTTCCATATTTGGGATCAAGAGGAGTTTGGCCATGTTTCGCCCTTGAACACCGAACGAGTTCACATCGTCCATGCTTCTCGTCACCCCGTCCTGCTGCGCAGCTTCTCGTTCTCAGCCCGCAACGCGGCAAGCTCCTGGTCTGCTGTGGAGCCCAGCAATCTTCAAAATAGGGATCTCGATGGGCATAGTCTAGTGGCCCCACTATATCCACAAGGAGGCTGGGCGCATGTCGGACTAGGAAGACCAGCGAACACAACCCGTTCTGCACGCAGAACACCGAACACAAGCCCAAATTCCGGAGCTTGTCTTGCAAGAATCTTAATGCCTCTCACACTGCGGCCCCTTTCACGCACCCAAAAAAAACACGGCGCATCCACCTCATGCACCGCCGAGGACATGGTCGAGCCAGTCGAGGCCCTGGAGGACCAATCCGGCGAAGCCTCGGCGGCCTGGCGTGATTGGAGGAACTGTGGTGGGAGTGGCATGGCACCTGCCCCCAGATTGCTCCGGGTGGAACGTCTTGAGCCATCTTAGAGCCATCTAGATGAGCTCTCTGTTTGGACAGTTGCAAAGCCGTGCCTCATCTTCCGGCAAGATGTTGGGGCACCTGATCGGCATCATCTTTTCCTTGGGAACCGGAATCATCTACCCACCACTGGGTGTGAAGGGTGCCGTGATGAACTGTAGACAACAAGGTCTCTGGCAAGCGAAAGCGACTCTCCTCTAAATCAAGAGGCCATCATGTCTTGACTCCACTTGTCCTTTACGAAACAGTACGTCTTTTGGAAATTGGTGACCATGTAGACTGAGAATCGTGCACTACCTCAGTTTGATAAGATACGCATGGCAACCTGGCAGGGATAACTTACAGTACTTTCCAACTTCAAACCCTCAAGCCTTCACTCACCATACAATCTTGCGGAGTCTTGGTCATAATTCAGCTTGCTATCTTAAAGCGTCAAAAACAGTCTGTGGTGGAATGGGGACTCCACAGAGCTCATACTATGAGTGGCTTTGAAACAACATGGAGAATGGTCAATGGTCTATCTGTTGCTTTTTTCCAGGGTTGCTTCGTAGTCTTCAAACCCATCATTTGCTGATTGATTGCCCAGGTGTCAGATTTCAGCTCGCCCCTCTCCTCAAAAATCCACCCGCCTCACCCCTCCCCGTTAACGTCGCCCAGGCACTGGGGTCATTGCGACGGAGACCGGTCCCGAGGTCATTGGGCCGGGCGTGAGTCGCAGCAGGAGGTCGTTATGGCGCTTGGAGGGCCTTGGACCGCGTCGTGCTACGCGCGGACGGCGAAAGACGCGCCGGACGCCGACGCGGTGGGTTTTCAGGGAAGTGCAGTTGAGAGATGGATTGAGACAGAAGCTTTTCTGTCAAGCACAGAATACAGTATCTCAGGGTCAGCCGAGTCATTTCAATCGGCAGAAAATCCAGAACAACCTCAAAAGCAAAGCCCTTCAGGTCTCGCAAAAAAGAAACGCTGGTCCTCGTGGGTCACGGCCCCCCGCCACCACATGCAGTCTCTGCGGCACAAGCTCTAGCTCGTGCTCCAGCGCATCCTGCATCTGGCGACCTTGCTTGCACATTCTGGCAGTGATGCTCCGGCTGGCACCCGTGCGCCTTTTGGTCGGAACGTCTATATCGATGTATCCTTTGTAGGCATGTATCAGAAAATGGTGTCCTTCTCTTATCCCGAGTTGTTGCAGTCTGGCCATACTCGCAACTCATGGGCCGCCTGATTTCTACTTTCTGCTTTCTGATCAGGCCTTTTGAGGCAGTCCCAAGACACATCAAGATACCCTGAAACTGTCCCAGACGGAGCCCTAGGCTCCGAGGGACGAGTCGATGTCTGGGCAAAAAACTGCTCCAAGGGACTGCTACGTCCACCCCAAGCTAAGCGCTGGCCCCGCCAACGCAACAAGGCCTCCGGGGCGGAGGGCAGCGGCACACCGACTTGGTGAAAGAAACCGCACGAAACCGTGCAGAAATTCTTGCATTCAAAAAGTTGCCTGCATAGTCCTATATTTGGAGTGGTTTCAGGGTCGATGTTGGTACATATCACCATTTATACACATACTGAGATGTTTGAGGATGCTCAACTGTTCTGGCAGCTGTGTGCAACAACGGGAATACAAAACACCCAGTCGACAAACCTCATAGCACACATCTCTTTCAGGAATGACACTTTAAATTCGCTTATTCGGGAGGGTTCATCAGAAACATATTTATATGATATTATATGATTATATATATGATCATGAATTAGACATACTTGTTCAATGTTGTTCATATCTTTTCAGATCTCAATCAAAAAAAAAACGGGACCGGCTCCAGCATCCGCTCCCTTCCAAACTTCGCCTGGAGGAGGTGTTTCATCTTGCGCATCTTCACCGAAGAGCCCTCCTCCGTCAAATACCCGAAGCTCGCCTCCCACCGAACCGACGCTCGCCCGAACGAGTAGCGATCGGTGTATACGAGCGATCGCCCGCGACCCGATCGGGTGCTCGGTCCATGCGGAGTTGACGGTGTGGGGTTTTGTAGCTTGAAAAAGAGTGGTAGGGTTTCAGAAGAGATGGCACCCTTGGGCCCCCACTGAACTCGGTGGTGGTTTATAATATAGAACCCCCCATCAAAAAGATTTCTTGGGGTGCCAGTGCCATCTACTCTGAAAACACTGTAAGTGAAATGACGATTGGACTCCTCTCCGACTCCCTTTTTGGGATGGACTCTCATCAATTTCACCCTCGAGGAGGAGCTGCAAACATCTGCAGACTAGGATCATGGATGATCATGGTAATTTAAAGTTTAAGTCACTCAAGCGGTTCCTTCGGTGAGCAGCTGCCAGAAGAACACGGGATGCTTCCTTCCACAAGCCGCTCCAAGCTCCCCTCGTGGAGGCACGGGCGGGAAGATTCTCGGACTCCAGCCTCATCAAAGGTGTTGTGCCAGTTCCGCTGCAAGAGAGGCTTCAGCTGGGACACCAGGATGGCTTTCTGCCCCTCCTCGAGGGAACGACGTCGGACCGTCCCATTCACGGCGCAGCGACCCAGACCTCAAAAGATTGGGCGATGGCAAGACCCTGAGGGCGGAAGGGTGTGTGGGGGGTTGACCCCACCGGAAGTCCAGTAGATAGTCAAGATCATTGATGAACCCAGCCCCGAAACGACCGGTGAAGAGTTTGGGAGCCAGAATCCTGGCTGAGATCCAAAGAAATCACCCCAAAAGATCCGTCTTGAGTCTTGCTCTTTATGGGGCACCACAAATAGAGACCGTTGACGTCAGGGTTCAATGGTGCAAAAATATGATACAGTAGGTTGTTTTTTTAAAGGCCAGTTCTTGAATGTTGATAAAAGTGCTAGCAAAGGGTCTGCACCACCTTGTTGCGCTTCTGGCCTGCACTTCTTCAGCTGGTCTAGCCAGTAGCCTCACCCCGAAGGATCCCACCGTCCCCGTCCGGCTCCGGGTCCACCGGGTCCACCGGGCTCCGGGTCCTCATCGACCGCGCCGTGCTCACGAAGAACGTGGCACAGCACCTGCGTCGTCCGGGCGGTCGGCGAGAGATCTCTCAACGGAGGTCGCCGGTTTCGGGGGAGGGAACGATGAACGATGTCCTGTCCAGAGAGCAAAACAAATATCCATGGTTGGTCTGCCCCCAACGGGGGGGGTTGGTCTCTTGCTGGCCGTGCAGTTCTTATTTTTTGAACTGTCTGCTTGGAGGATGCGAATCCGGCCAATTTGAAGCAAACGCATGATCTGCGAGGCTCGTCATAGGATTTTGTGGGCCTGTTTCCATTCCTAGCGCCAGTAATGCCATTTGGCTGTCACTCACCAGCACACTGCAGCCACTTGTCATGCGTTTCATCCTCCAAAGGGGTTTCGATATACAGTCAAACCGAGTCACACCCGTCAAACCCGCTGAAATCCGCCCAAGAAACGAAAAAGACGTCCAGAGATTCCACGTCCACCGCCCATGCCTCGCAAAAAACGCCCATGCCTCGCTTGCGACCTCCACCCTTTCAGGACCTCCACCTCCACCCGACCTGATAAAGTGATGGCCAGCAGGCGGCACTCCCAGGCTTGGGCACCTGGGAATGAAGCTCCCCACATCAAGCTCCCGCACCACCCGCCCGGCCAGCCAACTTCCGAGTCCCACCGAACCACGGCCGGAGCCACCCATTAGTGGCTCCGGCCGTGGAGATCCAAGCTCCAACGTTTTCGGAGTCTGGGTCACTTGGATCTAAGGTGTACTTACCTTTATTAGATGGCTCCAAAGGTTTGGACCCTGACCGCTGCACTCTCTCCGATGCTGAAAGAAGATATGCAAGCCGGACTCCATCAATTGGCGCTGAAGACATCCTTCTCGTTCTGCACAGCTTCGGTGCGAGTCCCCATCTCCATACCCAACTGGTGAGCATTAGCATGTTCTATCCTGAGGGCCTCAAAAACTGCTCGCTGGATCTCGCTGGAAGAGAATCTTCGTCGATTCCTGGTCGCCCGTTGAATCCGAGTCGCCAAAGCCACGGAATCCTCGACGGCAACCACGGGGTTGTCTCCATCTTCTGAGTCAACGATGCGCAACACCTCCACCGGCGCAGCACCGCCGTCTCCACCGCTACCGGCACGTCCCACAAAACGCAGGCTTCTCGGGTTGGAAAGACATCAACGATGTCCGGGTGCAGTCCGTGTATCAGAGGCCTGTTTCTATGTTCCAGGCATAAATGAGCTCCCTGTGTTTGGGAAACATATCATAGATATCTCCTAGCGTGTGAGAAAACTCCATTGACCTAATGTCACTTTGATCTAAGACATTGGATCTATATATTTGGATCTTACAAAATATTACATGCCACACATCAGGTGAAGTGAGTGGATCTGAGGCATCTGGATCTTCGGAGACCTGTTCCTCCACTCCAGTCACCGGTCCCTCCGCCGTCCCGGCGATGGCCACGGGCTTGCACGGTTCAAGCTCATCCCATGCAGGTCTTTTCGTAGTAGGGAGACCCCCCTGGCCCCCGACCCCAACAACCCCTGGTACGATCCACGACAACACCACGTGACACTGGAGCTTGGTGCGGGTTGGTGCGGGCGGACATGCGGCCGACCGCCGCCCATCCCCCCTTTCGACTGGCCTCCCAAAGGAGGGTGGTGGTGGCCGCCAAGGGCGAGGCATGGCCCAGCGCGTTCAGGTCCAAGCGCGTGCTGTGGCGCTCCTGCACACCGAGTCGAAGACGAGCGCGGGGTCCAAATCGGCAGCACACCGAGCTCGACGAGCGCAGAACCGCGCAGGACATTCTCCAACACCCCCAGCGAAGGCCCCCTCCCTCACAGAGAGCAGCTTGCTCCCCAAAAGCGGCCACAAGCCGAGCCCGACCGAGCGGGTCCGGGCGTCTCCTCGTACTTTTGCAAGAGCGTCTTCCACTGTACACCCCCAATGGCAGCGGCTGGGAAGCATTGCAGCAAGTCCGACAATTGCTGAGCCACCTGACATTCACTGTTTCGACCGACTCGTTCGAAGGGCGACCGACTCCGGCTTCGGAATGGTTGGTTCGGATTCGTTCGGAGGAAGCATTGCACCAGACCTACCTGAATTGAATTCCAATACAATGTTCGTTCACAGTGCACAGTCTTTTGTTCTTGGCGACGCAAGGAATCCCTTCACTTTCGCGACGTAAACCTGCTTCACCCAAGCCGCAGTGGCCGGGGAAGGAGAGAGGACGGTGCGCGCCATGGTCACTGCGCAGGTCGTGGGCACCCTGTTTCCCAGGGGCGTGTCGAGGAGCCGCACGTTGGTCCCGGAGAGTCTGAGAACATCATTGCTGATGCGTTGGGTGACGTTGGTGACGTTAAGCATCAGTTGGTGAGTTCAGGAATTTCCATGATGTTGAATGGATGATCCATGTCCAAATGGACTTAAAAGCATGTCAGCTGTTCACTGGAGGGTTCAGCCGATCCTCACACAGTTGCGGTGCACATTGGACAGCCTTTTTTTGTCCCCCACATTCCTCACATGCACCGGTGTCCTTTTCTAGGACCTGAAAGGCGTTTTAGACTGACCGGTAGTCCACTCATTCAGACCGTCCACGCATACAATGAGAACAACTGCTTCATTTGCCAATCTGCTGAAGACCCCTTCCCCTTCCCCCCTTCCAACGATCCCGGCTCTGCAATTCCAAGAGCATGTACCAAGAGCATTCCGGTCGCAAGACATTCAGACCGTCTCGCATCCCAACACGTTGATTCCATCCCAAAAAAAAAGGTTGCCTTGTTGTTCCCACATGATTCCCAGACCTTACGAAATCTGAAGAACATCCTCACCTTCTCTGGCAAATTGCTGAGTTCGGTCGCATTGCTTGGTTCTGGGTCCTTCTTCTCAAGTAGTGCTCCCAAATTCCGGACAATGACATGAATTGAAATCGGTCGCGATCTGATCTTTTAAAGGACACCAATAATATGGAATACCGGATCGATACCGTAATAATCCACAATACAAGCAACCCTACCACTAGTCACTAGTCATGAGACAAGGCTGCCTTTTCAACCAAACCTGATTTGCGAGAAGTGGTCAAAGGTGGCTGTGGCCTAGGGAGCCAACCTACTGATTTCCATGGAAGGTCTGGAAAATCGACTGTCCTGGCTAAAAAGGATGAAAGAGGTCGGGTCGCACAAACGGCCACCCTGATTGACCATCGCCCACTCCACTTTTCGCACGCAGTTCGGTCAGTGCTTTTGCCCCAGCCGCCTCCAGTGGCAGTGTTTGAGGAGTTCTTGATGCATTCGAGAACACCCAATATGACAGTAAGGCTTGGAGACCTTATAATGAAAGCTGACCTTGCAGAAGTCAGGATGAATCTGGAGATAAGAAAGCTAGCCTGCTGCAGGATGCACTTCTCCAACAAAAAGAACAACCGCACAAACCGCTGAGGTCCACACACCCGCAACCAACATCTTCCAGCATGTACCTGCATGGCCCTCTGCATGTACCTGATCCAAAGCTCAGACAGCGCATTTCATCGATTTCGGGAGCCTATGCCTAATGAGGCCGAGACATGTTATCTGCGGTTTCATGTGGCTCGAGACACCTTTTCAGGATGAGCTTACTTTAATGCCGATCAGCAGCATGTTGCATACTGCTCACCAGCAAATCTCAACTTGCGACAAAACATCAGCCTTCCCACTTTGTGGGGCTGAGCCGTCTCCTGTATAACCCACGATACGATCCTGCACTGTACAATCTTGGAGGCACCTGGATCCAGGAGCTGGCACAAATCTCAAGCGCATCACAGGCGACGGTGGGATAGCCGCCTTCAAACAGCAAAGGTTGGTCTACTTCCTCCCCTCAAGGATGTGTGGCTTCGCTGTTGGGTGCAGAGCTTTTGCCTTCTCGTACAAGGGAGTGCCCTTCTTCACTGCAACAAAGCCGGTGATGCCCAACTCAGCTCTGGCTTGTTTGCAGGCTGCAATCCAACAAGCAACGTGTGCAAAGGCCTTCCTCCCAGCTTCAGACTGTTTCTTGCTCACAAGTTTTCCCTCCTTATTCTTCTTCAAGTCTGCCTTTTTCAAGCCAGTTGATGTCTTTGCTTTTTTCCCACTCCACACCTTTGATTTCGCATACTTTCCTGAAGCAATCGGACTGGCTTTCTTGGTCAACTTGGCTTTCATGGCCTTCACCCTTGACTTCATAGCCTTCTCGGCTGGTTTTTTCAACACTGTCTTCTTCACCCTCTTCGAAGGCAACTTCTTCACGGTCTTCTTGGCCACTTTCGATCCTTTCGGCAGAGGCTTCGAAGCCTTGGCTGAAGCCGTTCGTCGAATGGTCCGAACCTTGCCAGTCTTGGTGTTCTGCTGCGTCATGCGCTGCAAATCAACCTTGTAAGAGAAGTATCCTGAAGAAATCACTCTTGTTGCGGTTCGACTCTCCTTTTCGTTGGCGACATGTTGCAAGTAGAGCTCTTCAACCTCCTCTGAGGCTTCATCTTCATACGGATGCCACCCTTTGCGCTTACCATCCACTCCGTCATCGACATAGTACTCCCATCGAAACGTCCCTTCCTCTTCGGCCTCTTTGGCAATTTGTTGTTGCAACCAATACTTTCCTGGCAGAGCGCGATCGCCGGCCTTGAGATTCTCCATCTTGCATCCAGTCCGCTCTTCAAAAATCTCCTCCACTTTGCTGCGCATATGCTCTTCTGAGAATGGCCCCAGCAAATTAGTTTGCACTTTCTTCCCTCTGCTGCCGGTGTCTCCCCAACAGGAGAAACAGTAAAAAGCAGGATGGCTCAAACTCGAATCCTGAAGCCCTTGAAGATGGCAGAATTTGTCCACCCCGTTGGTTGCATCAATCAGCACCAAGCGAAGGTCCATGTCCTTGACAACAGAGACGCGTTCGGCCAAGTCTCCGTCTATTTCTTTGAGGTATTGCAGCGCCATGGTGCTTTGTTTACTTCGTTTTATCGTCGATGCTTGAGACCAAATAAGCTGCTGTCAGGCAGCGGAAGCTGTCAGGAACAATACCAAACGGCTCAATAGCTGAGAAAAAGGTCGTTTTCTTTCGCAAAAAACTGCTGAACAAAGAACTGCAAACTGCCAAAGTGCAAGGCCCTCACAACCTGTCTGTAGGCTGTAGATCTTCTATCGCTGAAGCCGTTCACCTTGAACAAAGGGTACCGGGTACCATGCACCTGCCAGAGCCGCAGAGCCGATGCATGCTGGACACAAAATTAATGGATTCTGTGTACAAAGCAAATACATGCATTTCAGTAGTTTATTGTTTTAATAGCTTCTTGTTACTAGTAGTAAGGCACCTGTTACTACTAGCAAGGCACTTGTTCCTAGTAGCTTATTGTTTTTAATAGCTTCTTGTTACTAGTAGTAAGGCACCTGTTACTACTAGTAAGGCACTTGTTCCTAGTAGCTCATTGTTTTTAATAGCTTCTTGTTACTAGTAGTAAGGCAACTGTTACTACTAGTAAGGCACTTGTTCCTAGTAGCTTATTGTTTTTAATAGCTTCTTGTTACTAGTAGTAAGGCACCTGTTACTACTAGTAAGGCACTTGTTCCTAGGCTTATTGTTTTTAATAGTCTCTTGTTACTAGTAGTAAGGCACCTGTTACTATTAGTAAGGCACTTGTTCCTAGTACAGTAGCTTATTGTCTTTAATAGCTTCTTGTTACCAGTAGTAAGGCACCTGTTACTACTAGTAAGGCACTTGTTCCTAGTATGGCCAGGAGCCCCTAGTCGCGTCCTTGCTCCTAGATGATGGAGTCAGCAACGATATCATTCTAAGACATTGCTGGGCAGGCGAGACCTCAAAATTTGCTCTGAGCGCAGAGGGGGCAAGTTACGACGCTCGTAGACACGCAAAAATAGCCCCCTGTTGAGGCAAACTCTATATATATACTTTATATATTATATGTTATATATATATATACATTATATTACTATATATAGTGTTCAACTTGTTATGATTCCCCAAAAGGATGGTGTCGAAACGCAGTCGAAACTGCTCGGCGATCTTTCTCCGGCCTGGGTTCTCCGTGGTTTTCGCCGACATTCTGTGGGGCCTCGGGAGCGGAGGGATCGCTCGCGTTCGCTGAAGAAACCCACGATGAAGCGACTGGGAACCCACTCCCTGGCGTTATGAATCCGAGGTGTTATGAAACCAAAAAAAGTGACTTGGGTCGATTGAAACACCCTCACATACCCACACAAGTCATAGGCGACACTTCTTCGGATCGGAAACTCCCAGCCTCACACCATCGTGACAGATCGATCACGGACTTCTCCTCCCCGCTCATGGTCTCTTTCCACAAAAAGAGACCACAGCACTCTTGAGGCTCCTGCGTTCCCTGCAAGGCCATAGAAGGAAACCTCCCAAAAAGAGTTTTGGTATTCAATGGGGCACACAGCAAAGGTGCAAATTTTGCAAATACAACGCAGGCCTTGCTGGCGTCTTGAAGCATGTTGTCTGCCAGCAAGCCTGGCTTTCAGCTGATGTTGGCGTCAAATGCATCTCTATACATCTTACCACATGTCTCTCTTACTTCGACCCTTTTCCTGGGCGTAGCAAACAGGACTCATCAACATTGGACAGCTTGCTTAAGGCTAAGCAGCTGGTGAAACCTTTCCAAGCAAGGCACAGTTGCGACCTGGAAACCTCCCGAAATTTTGTTGGATAGAATGATGAACACCCTGCTTCTTCTGAAGAACAGCGTGTCTGTAAAACTCATGTTGAAAAGCAATCTGCCTCTCCACTCTCAGCAAACTTGCAGAGCTCACCTTCCCTAAACTCCTCTTCGGTCAGAGCAAACTCCTCTTTTCCGATGACCTGAACCGAAGGCAAAGCGAAGACGAAACGAACATCAACCCGGAGGTATTTAAAGTACCAGCTTAGAGGGTGGCGTACAGTGGTGCGGTGCAAACGTCCGCTGTCTAACTCCACGGAGGGCACCAGTGTAAGAAGGGCAGTGTACATGTCTTCAGTGCTGTGATGGCACTGACACCTGTGTGGGGTGATGCAAGCGCGAAGTGTCTAGCCCGACCGCCAAACAGTCCTTGAACCAAACAGTCCAGTAGGGACTTCGAGCAACAAGAATCTTTGGGATTCACCCACCAACCATATTGGGTTGATATCCAACCTTAGCGGAGCTTCCGACTAGATCCCACCGTCGCAAGGTCATCAATGCGGACTCAATGGTTTGGCCTTGACAAACGGAACAGGTAGTCGAAGTACTTCATTTGGTCGTGGCCAAGTTACCCTTCTGCCCTCCTATCCCAGGACTATTTCACTTGTGTAAAGCTACCTTCAATTGATTCTTTTGGAGTAAGTATATATAGATGCTTCCACGAAAGGGTGTGAAATGAGAACATGAAAAGGAATTACTGTATCAGGTTCCGACTCATCAACTTTGACCAGCTCCCCCACCACTTGCAAGTTTCCCTGGCCTCGCTGAGACGAATGAAGCCTTCAAAGCCTGAGGCTTGCACCCACAAAATTGCAGGCTAGCGCGATTTCCTGATGTTTCTCCTGGTATGTAAAATGTCACTCCCTCATCACTCTCACTGTCCAATGTGCCGGCGCAACTTTGAGATCTCAAGAAGCATGCATGCGACCGGATGTTGACCTATTGACCCGAGGCACAACGTTTCGCCTCTGGAAGATACAAGTGAGATAGCAAATCACTTCTGTGATTTTGGTCTCCAGCAAAATCATGCGCACGCCTGGCGCGCGAGCCTGGCGAGTCTGACACGGCCCTCTGAGTCTGGGCGGTGTGGTTTCAGCGAGTGGTTTCAGCTCAGTGGTCGCGGTCCACTCGTTCACTCTCGTTCCAGTGAAGCGGCTCGTCCGTTCCGTGGGTCGGGGCGCCCCGAAGTGTGGTGGATTGGAGAACCCAGACGATGACACTAGCTGGCAACTAGCTGGCAGCTTGAGGAAGAGGCGAAAACATGCTACATTAGGCACAGATTCTACACTGTACAGATTCTACATTCGCTACATGATCCTTTTCACCTGCTGAAACGCCAGTGCCTGTAAAGAACACTGCAAATAGTCGCTGGTTTTTGACTTTGTTCCCAATCCAAAGCCGCTGAGGCTTCTGCGAGTCATCCCAAGCGTCACCTTTGTTCATTTCTGGAGTTCTCATGGAATGTAACCCGTCTCAAAAGAAATCTTGATGAAGAATGCCTGGAAACAGCTTGTATGAAACTTTTGCTTGTTGTCAAGGTAGTCTCAAACTCACACTGTTCCTTGCCAGGTCAAATAGAGTTTTAAAGAATGCCGCTGCTATTTAGTACGAAGCTGGACCTCTAGTCAACCTTTAGCTCTCCTTGCTCTTTTGCTTGCACTCCCTCACCTATGAGAAGCACCAGCTTACCCGACCCTCCATCCCTGACGCCTCTATAGCCCGCCAACTGGGGCCTCTGACTTTACACACTGCACGACGAAGTAAAAGAGGACGTTGACCTTGGGCACTTCGGCACTTTTGGACGTTCGGCGCTACTAGGGGCTCTTGGCCTTACTACTAGGAGCAAGGATGCTACTAGGGGCTCCTGGCATTGCTACTAGGAGCATTCTTACTACTAGTAACAAGAAGCTTAGCGGCTTAGCAAAGGCAAAGAAAGAACTCACGCGGTGGGCGCCGATTCGTGTTTCAGCATCTGCATGCCGTTCATCGCGTGAAAGCTCCGTGCCCATGCTGCGAGCATATGTCCCCCTGGTTGGAGTTCGTGGGCCATCAAGGTGGACCACATGCCCCCAAAAGGGGGAAACAAACACAGTGAGAGATGAGAAGCCCCTGGCACCCAACCTGGCGGCGCGACAGACCGGGCCCCCGCACCAGGAGAGCCCCGAGCACCATGGACCAGTCTTGACACCCGGTGATCACCAAGGCCACCAGCACCGGGGCCTGGACACAAACCGCTTGGATGGTCTGGAGGGTGAAGGGTTCCCATCAGCGCACCCGGACACGGCGGTTCTTCCCGGAATGTGCGTGCGCGAAGCAGGGTTTCAAGCCCACCTTCTTGAGGTGAGTGATCGGGCGAAAGGACTATAGCATCATCAAAGCCCTCGTCATTCATCCAAGACGCCCGAAAAGCTTTACACGACCCTCAGATGAGTTGGGAGTTGTGCCGATGATGAGAGAGGTATGGGTCCCCAAGTCCTGACACATGATGCGACCTGTCAAAGGTGGGAACATGGAAACGGCCAATGAGATGGGAGGTAAGGGGATGTTGTATGTGGCTTTTCGTTTTGTTTAAATGGTGTTCCTGGTTTTTTAACGTTTCCTTTGCTGTCCTTTGCTTAGACTTAGACTCCTTTACCATTCCTTCGTTCTTGCCTCACCCTGGCCTTGCCCAAAGGGTAGGACAATCCCCCAGGGCAGAAAAGGACAGCACTGTGATGGACTGTGGATAGAAACTCCCATGTGAATGTCACTCACTTGTAGCACTCGTAACATTGTAGTCTTTCTTGAAGTTTCAGCGCTTGAGGTCAGTTGTCCAGCGAGATATCAGCCCACAGCTCCCATCTCCTTGGTTTCCTCCATGGAACACAGCCTCTACCGTGCTCGATTTTGCTGATGCAATGCGAGTTGTGCACACACCATCAAGCACATGGCACGTGGCACGGTCGTTTTACAAAGTCCTATAGCTCAAGGTTCACTACATCATGGCGCAAACTTCGTGACTTCATGGCACGGTCGCCCCCACCCCCTCTCCCACCCCTCTGCCACCAGCACCTTGAGGCCGCAAAGGAGTGCGGCGCCCCAGCGGCCACCAGGCACAGCATACAAACGCACCAGTTCGGGGTGCCTCGCGTTCGATCACTGACTGCTTCACCGGTTTCCGTACGTCCGCGGGTGAGGGGCTGAGTGGGCTGGGTTCGACTCAGTTGGGGGCTCAAGACTCCCATGGTCTCAAGTGAGTGAAGACTTCCACTCGTCGCTCTCGCTCGGATCTCCACCGTCGTCCGGATCGGTCTCCGAACCGGAGCTTCAGCTGCAGAAAGGCAGCCAACTGCCACCAGTAGACGACCACATGAAGCAAGGTGCTGAGCCTTTGGGCGCTGAAAAAGTGCCAATCCAGCCAGGCAGCCGAGCAACCAGCTAGGTTTCTCTGTATCCATTTGAGGGTTCCAAGAAACCAACCTGCATGAGCCGTTCTTCCGTTTCCTGCATTGGTTTGGTCCGTTTCAAGCTCGCGACCCCCACGCGCACGCAGCCATCGTCCCTTTTCTGGTGTCACTCGCTGTCATCGTCAGCTCCGATAGGTGAGCCACCCTGAGGATGACGGAGCCGCGAATGAAAGCAATCTCTCTTGCGCTCTGGAAACATGCGGGCACTGTCTTGGCCAAAAAAAACAAGATACACTCCACACCAACTCGCGATCGGTCCACGACGGTTGCTCCCCACTCCCGAATTGCACCTGCTTAGACACATGCACCCATCTCCCATGAAAGATTCTGCCAAGCATCTGAGCTGGAAGACAAGGACAGAAGCTGTTTTAGGCAGCTGTGGATCTCTTCCTTAGGTGCACATGGACAGCCTTATGAGACCTCCAAAGCCTTTGGAGTTGTTTAGATCATTGCACGATAATAATGACTCAGTTACAGTCGCGGCAGAGTCTGCAGGCAGAAATGTCATTCATCCTTTTCCAGGCAGCTGGAATAAAGATCGGATCGGCGTTAGAAAACTCCAGCACAGAGGTAGGGACTCCAATCAGAGCCGCACAGATTTTTCCTCCGTGCAAGAAGCCAAGCTGCCACTGTTTGTCTCCGCAATAGCACGTGATTGTCGTCACCTGACCAACCAAGTCTTTCAAAGTCCAGACGTTCAAAATCCCAAAAATAGAACACTCAAAGCACATACACATGAATCTTCCTGCGTATCTCACAGGAAAAAGGAGAAGGCCCCTGCAAATGGGACCCGGAAACACCATCCTTGTAGAGACACGATGGTTCAGATCAGTCACAGGATTCTCAAGACATCGTTTTCTCATGTTTTCGAAGGGGATAAGATATGGTACCGAGAATGTCGCATCTCAGACCCGGACACAAATGCAGCTCGCACCCGGCCCCTCGCAATGCCGCCACTTGTGAGGCTGGGCAAAAGCCGTCCTGGCATCCACGACCGACGACAGGCCACCCCTGCGCACCCCTTTCCACCCCTTTTCTTGTTACTAGTACTTTCTAGTTATTAGTAGCGATGCACTTGTTATTGGTAGCAAACACTTGCTTTTAGTGGCTACTAATAGTAACTGATAGTAACTGCCCATGCTCCTGTTCTGCATGGAAGACATGCACCGGCGCGCTGGAGCGAGGAGCCGGGAACCTTTTCGGGAACAAGCACCGAGGCGGCTAGCAAAGGCATGTGGTAGCTGTTCAGACAGACTGACTCTAGACCGCTTGCTGTCAAATGGTGGGAAGTCAACAAGGCATGAGATTTGCTTCATGAAGCTAGCTGTTCGGATCTCATTTGCTGGGTTCTTGACACACTAACTTCACTGAAGGCTGGCTCTTGACCGCTTTAAGAGCCCTCAAACTGGCCCCGCCTAGGACTTGAACGGCACGAAACCTGGGATGAACAACATGAAATTTTTACTGAGAAGTTCACACTCCTCTTTTGGAAGCAGCTCGAAACGTTCAGCGGCACTTTCAGCCAAAAGCAACGAACCCGGTCGATTGGGTTTTCACGAACGGAGTCGTTTCGGTCGGAGCTCCGGTCAGTCGTTCTCCCAGTGCCCAGCGGCACAGGCCATGGCATTCACAGTGGGCGCCAGCAGCAGTGTGGGGCCGGTCCAACGGCGCTCGGCCAGTAACCACAAGGCCTCGGTGTGGGTGGCACAGGTCCCCAATAAGAAAGAAAGATATGTGCGGCTGTCAAAACTCCAAGATTTTGAAGGCGGATCCCCATCCTCAACCAAGAATCTTCTTCTTCAGGGATTGTGTGACGGCATGTGTCAACAACGCCCCAAGACCCCCCTGTCAACGGGAGAACTCAATCTTAAAACTATATACTATATACCTGTTGGCAGACCCATGTGCTGCCCCGGTCTTTATATGGGAACAACGCCACCAGGCGCCTGGTCTTGTCGGCAAATCAGTCACGACGCCCCCAGTCACCCTGCGGCGCACGCGCGCGCACCCTATTTTCGCCACTTGCCAAAACTACTTCGTGTTCCACATTTTGGAGAGCGCTTCAACGTTCTCCTGAGGTGATCCACGCATCTTCTCGCGTCGAAACACCCACTGCCACACACGCATCTCCAGCTTTGCTGAATGCGTGGCCTTCACACCTTTTCCCTGTGTTTTTGGGCTGTTTGTGGCAGCCAACTTTTCAAGCTCTTCCGAAGCACGCTCAACAGAGGCACGCTCGCGTAGCATTGACATGGTGCCCGCCGGCAACAGTCATTTGGAAAAAACAACAACGCTAAAATCTGAGTAGTCCGTCAAGCCTTGAAAATCCAAACACCAACGGTCCTGGTCCAAAACTATTTCGATGGTCAAACCAACCGAAGGATCCTCACTACGAACTTTACACCAAACTAAAGTCAAGTCGTCCAGATGACTTGACCCAGGTGACCACGAAACCAAGGTTGAAGAAACGGGGGTACCTCGTCTATGTCCACAAAACCCGCCAACGGCAACAAAAGAACCAACGAAATGAAACGCACCGAAAAACCAAGAAACAAAGGTTGCGGCGTGTCTTGACTGAGCCAAAAAAGCATGCACGCGGCCAAAACGTGCGCCTAACCGAGTCTAACCCGCAAGAAGACAAACCCAAGTATATAGGGCGCTACGCAACAGGTCTGCTAATTAGCCTCAGCCCCACCCCCGCACCCCATGTCAACACATTCAAGCGCAGCGCGAGAGTTTAGAAGGCGAAAAAGCAACGAAAACACCAGGCGCCCCGCAGCGACGGCAACTATGTAATTATATATATATAACTTCAATTGATTCAACCGGGCTCGGGTTGTGACTCCCACAATCCCTCGAAGAACTGCGACAGTCACTTCGCCCAGACACAAGGCCACCCCATGACGAAGACCGGGGCGAGATAGGTGTGGGAAAGGGCAAAGGCCAGCGGACGAAGTACCGTGTACATTTCCAGACCGGCGGCATCCAACCGGAAGTCCGGTTCGCACCGCCGATGGCGGGCGAAGGGCGGCTGGACCCGCAGGGCATGGGTCTCCGTAGGGAGGTGCTGCGCACAGTCATCGCGCCTGGGAGAGGGCCGCGAAGCGAGAGAGTCGTGAGTCGTGAGAAAACAGGTTCAACTCTATAAGGGGGGAGCTGCATGCCAGAGCGTAACATCAGTTGATCAAACAAAACCACTCAGGAAAGCATCTTTCGGCCCCTTCTCCACTAGACACCGATGGTCCGTCCCGAACACCATCCACTACCAAGCGAACGTGGTTTCTGCAGCATGTTCCGAAACATTCACCCGACTCTGCCGGACGCCCGCTGCACCATGAAGGCCATGAAGCGCAAAGGCCTGCAACAGCTAGCTAATTACTTGGACGGCTGCTACTTAGTTAGTGATATGGGTGTGTGTCGAGCGTAGCAGCTACCGCCTGCAAGGTTCCACTTGTGAAGTCCGCAGGCAAAAATGTGGAAAACGTATTATAGGTACAGGACCGTGACGACACGAAGCCGGGGGGTAGTGCAACGAGGGATGTGCTCCGGAACAATTAAACAGGACGTGTGGTAGAAGTGAACATGTTACAGAACGACGGTGCGGGACACGCTGCGGACAGCGGACCGAGTCAGCGACGGCAGCCACGAGCAGGAGCCCGCAGCAGCAGCATGGAGCGCCCTTTACCAGCGCTCCAGCGAGTCCAGCCAGGGACTGGAAAGATATCCGAAGCTCACGGCGGGGCCCCCGAGTGTCAGCGGCAGTTGCACAGCGCAGGGAATAAATCACCTTCCAGGGGGCAAGAACAAAAAGGGAACATGTAAGAATAAGTCCCGAAAAGGTAGTGCCTGCGTCGAGGCAGCTTGTGGGGCGGTGTCCCGCTGTCTACGCGCATCATTGATCGAATAGGGCGTCGATCCTGAAGGTGCCCGGGTATAGTGACCAGCTCATCCTGGGCGATGCCGTCCGCGCGGTGCTCGCGCAAGTAGTAACCAAGCCGACTGGGAGGCAGGAGGACGTACAGCCGGTCAGCGGCTGCATAGCCTGGGATGGGGGTGGCGAGGGGAAAGAAAAAAGTAGGAAGGCGACACAGTAAATTGTTACAGGCGAGAGGCGGGCAGGGTCCACAAGGGCTTTCTTGTACCGGGTGCGCGCATGGGCGGCCGTGCGCCGCCGCTCGTCCCCACTCGCACCACGAGCGTCCGCTGCGCACGGACAAAGGGGCCACTGTGGGCTTTCCTTAGTGCACAGCAATGAAGAGGCGCACGGACAAGAGTCGCCTTTGCCCGCACCGCGGCCGCGCGCTGCGGCCAAACGTGCGTAATATGCACGGCGCTGCTCCGGCGTGAATGGCATGGAGCAAAGGAAGAGCAAAAAAGAAAGAAGGCGGAGAGCGAAAAGATGGGGAGCTAAAAAAAGGCTGCGGAACGAGATGTGATGCTGAGGGGAGGAGGCGAGACGAGGTCCTAAAAGATTGAGTAGGCAATGTCCAGCGGTGAGGGAATTCCCATCAAAAAATAGAGGAGTAGGTTGGATAACAAGTCCATTCTGCAAGAACTCTTTGTCTCTCTCTCTCTCTCTTCTTGATCACGAATGCCCAGCCACTGGTCCGGCGGGCTTCAGGTCCTGGCGGGCAAGGGGCGGACGACGGTTCCGTAATCTTCCCCCCCCAAACCCCCCAAAAAATAACACGCTTGTAGAATTGCGTACTGATTTGAAAGCGGTTTGCCACACGCCGGCCTAAGTAAAAACCTAAGATACCAGGAGACAGGTAATAAGTTAGAGGCCATCACAAGGAAGTTGGAGGCCAACGCCTAAGGTTGGAGGCCGTCGCTAGTAGGTGGTAGGTAGCACAAGCAAAAGAAAAGTGACAGCGAGCAGCAAGGTTGGAGGTCGTCGCTAGTGGGTTGGAGGCCATAGTACCAGGTTGGAGGCCAGCGCTACACAAGTACAAAAGTGACACCAAGTTGAAGACCAACATGCAGGTACACATCAAGGCGTCCCTTGATGGGCGTCCCTTGATGCTTGCCTGGTCACATCCCAGCTTCGTTGGGCCAGGTTGGGTGCGACAAGCCTAGCTGCAGACTCCTGCGATGCCGTAGGTGCGGCTGGAGCCCCCGAAGCTGGTGGACCATCTCCTGGAGTGACGGCCGGCGGCGCAGTTGTCGCCACGGCGAAGGGGCAACGTCCTAAAGGGGGCGAAACTGACACAGAACGTTCGATGGTGGAACCAGCCCGAGGCGCTGGGAGCCAACGGTGAAAACAAAATCGCATCCTGCAAACAAGAAGAACACGACGCCAGAATGCAGAACAATTCTGGCTCGGAGGAGAAGTCCTTTGAAGGCTGAACAAGGCGCGAGGGCAGCGCAGCTACTGTTTCTTGCTCTGTCTCCATCCGCGCGGTTCCACATGTTGCGACGGGTGGCCGCAACACCGCGCCACGCAAGGCTACCGGTGCGCAGTGGTGTGGAGGAGGTCTGTAACCACCACCAGGGCGCCAGCTTGCTAAGGACAGGCGCCCGAGCTGTAGTCCAAGACAAAGTGTGCAGCTAAGGTTATGTATGTCTAGCAGCACGCAGGGACAAATGGAAAGGTTCAGCTCAGGCTAGATGTCAAAATTATGTAGTATGTGTTCGATAGAGTGGTAGCAACCGCAGTCAAGAGGGCATGGTCTGCCGCCACCCCGAGGTCAAGTGCGCGACTTTGGCGGATCCACCGGACGTTTTTTGCGCCAGGCGCTCCGCGAGGGACGGGTCATTCTTCAGCGGGTAGATGTTCCCGCGCAACACGACCACCAGGCTGGTATCGATGGAAAAAACCAACAACGCCAAATTCTGAGTAGTCCGTCAAACCTTGAAAATCCAAACACCAACGGTCCTGGTCCAAAACCAATCCCGAGTGTCATGTCGGAAACCCCTAAATACGGTTTATATCCGTTTTTAAATTACCGCCCTTTCAAGCCGCTACTAAACTACCAACATTGCCGATTTTGGAGGAGTTTTTTAATTGGGTCCCCCAAACACAACCGTAACTACCCACCTCTGTCCACCCTGTCTATCCACCATGACACGCTCTGTTTACACCAGCAGGCTTTCCTTCCCCCAATGGCACGGACCCACGCAAACGCACTTTCCACCGAGGTCACGCAAAACCGCATGGCACAGCGACATCACCTTTCGAAAGCTTTAGTTGTTAGCCTAATGAAGAACATCTATTCCAATAAAGGTTTTTGCAGGGGGAAAAGGAAGACCTTCGATCTGGAGGTTTGTTGAATTTTTGATATGAGTTTAAGAAATGATTTTATATAAAATTTTCCTGGGTGACTTTTTGGTTTTGAAGCCCTTCCCAGGTTACCCTATTTTGAACCACCCCGATTTCAGGGACCCCCTATTAAAAGTATGCGACCGAGGTTTGCTTATTAGGGGGGGACCCCGTATTTTTTAATAGGTGGACCGGATTCTTTCGATGGTCAAACCAACCGAAGGAGCCTCACTACGAACTTTACACCAAACTAAAGTCAAGTCGTCCAGATAACCCGGTGACCACGAAACCAAGGTCGAAGAACCGGGGGTACCTCGTCTATGTCCACAAAACCCGCCAACGGCAACAAAAGAACCAACGAGGCGCACCTGAAAAAAACCAAGAAACAAAGGGCTGCGGCATGTCTTGACTGCGCCAAAAAAGCATGCATGTGGCCAAAACGTGTGCCTAACCGAGTCTAACCCGCAAGAAGACAAACCCAAGTTTAGAACGCGAAAAAGCAACGAAAGCACCAGGCGCCCCGCATCGACGATGGCAACTATGTGTATATATAATATATATATATATATAACTTCAATTGATTCAACCGGGCTCGGGTTGTGACTCCCACAATCCCTCGATGAAACTGCGACAGTCACTTCGCCCAGACACCAGGCCACCACCCCATGAGAAGGCGAGCACCGCCTCGAGAAGACGGGACCGACGCCGTGGTGGACCCCTGTGGACCTCGGGAAGTACCCAATCAGAGCGTAACATAGCAGCTGGGTCAATTAGCAGCTGTATATGGACCAGCTTCCTATTGGTATCAACTGGAAGCAATGGAAGAGGTTCAATGATGATGTTTCTTCAATTGGCACCCATGGTCCTCAGCGATCTCCCAACGAGACTGTGTCCATTATCTTTTGCATCATGTTCCACCTGAATCCCATCACCCAAAAGCTCCCCACTTGGGTGTGACTTCCACTAGGGAGACCTCCCAGGCGTTCCGGTCCCCCTCAAACGAAGGGAAAGGAACAAAGACCGGTCTACAGGGTCTCAGGGTTTCTCCCTATGATCTATAATAATGTAGACTCTCGATTCAAAAACCCGCCATCGAAAAAGCTCTTGACATGGGGGGTTTAATAATCAAGAGCCTACATGACACACATCGGACGCATTCGGATCACCGCGCATCGGGTTCGAAGTCGCGGAGGGCGCGGCTGGTGCTCCAGAGCCCATCCTCGGCGCGGCGTGAAGACGGTGGGACGGGGACAGGCAGGTGGGATTCGAAGTGACCGGCGAATTAGTGCCATTCCCATGTCTAAACACGTATGTCTAATGTATGTGTGTGTATGTATATGTGTTGGGTATATAACGGTACAGTGGATGACGATGGTTAGCAAAGGCCTTTCTCTAAAATAGTGAGAATTGCTTACCAACTGCAGGTAAAATGGGACAGACCCAATCTATGTATATATATATATATAGATATGAGCTGGGATCAGTTTTCACCGCGGCAAGGATGGGGAATAACAGCAACTCCGAAACCGTCAACTCCTTCGCGTGAACCTTCGCGTGCGAGCAAACCAAAACAGGGATTCCTAGATTTCATCCGCTCACAAACAAACATCTTGGGATGATCAGAGTTCGCCACGCTGTGCGCTCGAAGATACTCTTCGTTTCAACCTGGTCCAACACAATGGAAGCGACCAGTAAGTGATTTGGGGGCCCTAGGCATTCATCCCAAACGTAATCATGTGTACCATCGTTTCTTTGACGCATTGATTCTCCGTGTTTGTGACATCATTGGTTGCCAAGTAAGTGGACGCTTGCAAGGAGTAAGACCAACCCATGTTTTCGGAGGGCTGGTCTGGAATGTGCTTATGGCATGAAATGGCATTGCCTGCCAATAGCAGAAAAAAAAACATGAGAACGGAACCAACCTTCCAATCTTGTCGGGTCATCCTACTAATAGCAGATGGAAAGACGATGGTCGGACCCATGGGTCACAGGCCACCCCGCTTGCACAGGCCGAGCGTCTTTGATGGAAAACCACACCAGGCCTGCCACCAGATATCGAAGGAGGACTGGGATTGCCAGCACGGCCACCTGACGAGGCGCACGGGAGCCCGGGGTCAGCGAGCCAAACAGGCTCCGTTCCGAAGGCACGGGGGTCAGCCGGTCCGAAGCCGGTCCGAAAAGCGGTTCCGGACCCACCGGGGACCCAACAGGCCGAAGGACCGGAATTCGGTGAAAAGAAGGTACCAGCCGGCGCCCCCGAGGCACCATCCCTTGAGCATTTCATCAAGCGTTGAGGTCCAACAAGACGAAGGAGACACCAGAAACCGCGTTTCCGCGGACAAGAGGCCAGCCGCACCAGCCAGGAGATTGAACCATCCACCTGAAGATGTGCGTCAGAACAACTTTTTGTTTGGATTCAGACATCGATGTCACATCTATCTAAAGTGTGGATTTTACCTCAAGAGGTGTGCAGTGCCATGGCTGCCTGGTTGACCAGCTCATCGCTTGTGAGGGCCAGCGGCAGCAGCCAGAAGACCACCTAATGGTTTTGTCATGGCACTTTCGCTCGCAGAGCGGAGGTATGAACTATGAACAAGGGAAAACAAACACCAGGACAATCAAACACCAAGAAACTTTAGCATTTTGAGTTTGATCTTGGGAGTCTTCCACCAGGAGGCAACCAAACACCAAATGCCTTGGTTACTAGGCTTGCTTGGCAGAATCCGAGTCGTGCCCGGGCGGCGCACAGAACCTGCCAGATGGACCTGAACCGCTGCGGACGGAGCACGAATATCATAGCCGAGCTGCTAAGAGCAAGAGCGGGCAGAATGGATTCAAGCACCATCTGCCTTGGTTCTAGACCAGGAAGCCAGGTCCCAAGTGGGTCATTTAAAGGTCTTCACAGATTCTACAGGTACAACCAGCCCTCCCACCTCCAAACCAGCACCACCAACTTATTCCCTAAATTTCCCTTCGGCCTCCCCCAACACTAGCCCACACCAATCGGGCCAAAGCACAGCCACTGGGTGGCATTGGAATGTTCACCTCCTGGAAGTCCACGCGCTCCATCCGCGCGCGCAGCACATCCAAGGGTCCGGGACTCCAGCCGCCCAAGACCTGGGCGTCAGCAGCGCAGGTGCGGTGGTGGTGGAGGAGCAAGAAAAGGAGAGATGCTACAAAGACGGTATCAGTCTGTAAGGATGACAAACACCAGTGAAAGTAGTTTTGGGGCGAGATTTGAGTGAATAACATCAGGGTCCAGCCTGAATCTCAACAAATTCCAAAAAAAAGCAGCAGAAACAGCCTTCAAAAGCAAATATGCAGGTGATATCAGGTGATGTTTTTGCGCAGAACAACTCCAAGCCCAAGCAAGCCCTCGGATCCTCCTCTCAGCTCCCTGCTAGCACACGCCCTGGGCGTCCTTCTGGCATGGCAGCTACCGCTTCACGGCATGAGCGAGAGGAACGCGCCAGAGCGAAAGGGTCAGCGGTTGAGTCTTTTGCCCAATAAGGGATACTGGATCGAGCCATGTTGAGTGAATTCCATTGAAACAAATCCTCAATTTGTTGGGTGTGCCTTTCTTAATAGCATGAGATCCTGAAATTGGAGGACAGAATGTTGATCTCCTGTGAACGTGGTGTCACTTGCTAAGCTGCCTGGTCAATTCAATTCTGCTGTACAAATTGCTTCAGGCAACAGGCGCAGGGGCTAGTGGGACTTGCTGTGATCTCTTCTAATCTCTACCTCCGTTACTCATTGCAACCAAATTGAGAACCCGATGACTTGTGATCTCTGAAGTTGAGCTCGGCACTGCACCAGGTAATCCTGGGTTCGTGCACAGCACGAGGTTTCAACAGGTGTCGCGATTCATTGGTTTCAACAGGTTTCAACTAGATGTGTGATCATAAAACATGATATCCCAACATTTGCGCAAGTGACGACTGTATTCTCTGTGGAACTCTGGACAGCATACATAGCATTCTCGCGCCATGTACATGCGCCATGGCCCTGCTTGGTGCACCAGTGCCGAGCCGCAAAGGTCAAAAGCAGCAAGCAAAGCTGCAGCGCAGTGGTGACCAGCAGCGCTACAATGGGAGCTCCTGCGCCGGGGCTACTGGCTTCAATGACCCAAATCCATGGTTTGGCGCATGTGACACACACAGCTGCAACCCTCTCGCCGTGCAGCTGCGACTCTTCGCCGGAAAAGGCAGCTGAAGGGTTTCGTTTTGACATGTCCAGTTGCAAGGATTGGTTCGCAGGGTACCTAGTGCAGAAACATGTGTGTATCTATATAGTTCTATATATATATATATATATCAGCGAGCGACGATGTTTCTCAAACAGAACTTGAGAGAGGAGGGGGTGAACGAAAGGTAACAGGCAATCACAAGTATATAACCCTGGTAGAAGTCCATGACGCCGTGAACCGGCGCAGGGGGGATTTGATCCAGGGCGGGGCCGAACAGAATCATCTCTTACAGGACCAAATTCAATGCACAATCCCAACTCCTGATTGTAATACATTTTTGCTAAAGCAAGGAGAACTCAGGTAGCTCAAGCTGCCTTTCGTGAATAGGTGGAAGTAGAAGCCTTAAAAATCCACCGGCTGAGTGGTGTCCTCCAGTAGATTCATCACCGTCTCCCATCCTCGTCTCCTGTGGATAGTTCTCTCCGAAAGCAGCTGGGTAAAAGCTGCGGCATTGCCTCTGAGCTATCTCCTCACAGGAGGGATTGGACCTCCGAAACCAGTGGCAACTTAAATCAAGTCGAGTGAATTACCCCCCTATGATCCTCATGCATGCCTCTGGCACGGAAATAAAGACAAATAAATAGCAAGTGTTGACATATGTCAACCAGTCATTCAACTCCAGAATTATCGTGGAAACTTCTTGCAGAGCGCAAAAACAAAAACATGTGGGGGATTCATGGCTTTCCACCCTGTGCCCCAGTCAGTGCTTCTCCGACAGTGACCGAACCAGTCGGTCAACCAGTCGGTCAGGCCCTTCGGTCCTAGGGATTGCAAAAAGCGAGCCACCACAGCCTGGGCGTTCGTCTGGGCAGATGGCGGATGACTGAGAGGGACGCTTCCCATGTGCACCCGTGGCGGATGACTGAAAGGTAGGATGACTGTGGTAGAAAGCTCAATTGCATGGCTATATATCGATTGCCTTTGGAGTAGCCATCACTCGCTCACAGTTCTGCACTCTTTCCAAACACCTCCCGAGGACGAAGTTGTGACCAAGCTCTTCTCTTCTGAACAAAAGCGACTTTCTCAACGTTGTCCGCGCCGCACGAGGCTGGCAATTCTAGCAAACCTTGAAAACCTTCTGCCAGGACACCAGTTCAGAGGTGTAGAGTAGGGTGTTGGCCAAGGCTGCAGAGATGCAAACCCAAATCCCCAACCTCGGGGTCAAGCGACGGTGCCCGTGCAGAAGGACTGGTGTGAAGCTGGCGAGAATGGGAAGGAAGCCAAGTAAATCTCAACGGGCGCAAAACCGATGAGGAGAACCGCTCATTGAGGAATGCTTGGCATAAATAGAGCCTGCTACCATCGCTTCAGGACATCAAATCCCCAGAAACAATGTGTCCTGCCTGCCAGCCTTGGACTGGTGTTTCTCACCTGACACTTGAAAACTTCTATTATCATCTGCTGCACCAAGAAGTGGAATCTAAATGTTATCCACCGCCCACCTGATCCAAACTTCCCGGACCTTCAATCCAAGTCGCGGCTGCCAAAACCGCCGGTAGGCGATTGCCAGGTAACCGTCTTGCCAGGAGCCCTCCGCTCCAAGCGCCTGCCAAGTGCAAAGCAGGTAGACCTGAAGCAACAGAAAATGGGCCAAACCCCATGCTGAGCAGGACAAGCTCCACCATGCGAAGACGATCATCGTCTAAGTCTTCAGCAGAAACCATGAGTGTCGGGAGCCCGGGCGATGAAGGCGGCCAAGGCCGCCCAAAGTAGCCCCTGCAAAAGCTGCCTGGGCCCAGCCACCTCCTGCGCAAGCGACGGGGATAAAGAAAAAAAACAAAAACAAATCACTGTGCTTAAAGCAACCATCCCAAGCACAGGCGGGCTGCTTGCAGTCGGCACAGTCTGAAGTTGGATTCGATGGACACTTAGGGCACTGGAGAACGGATGCCACTAGTGGCAGAGAGAGAGAGAGGGAACCTTTTTCCATCTTCGGGAGCAGGCATCGTTGGTCGTGCTGGGTGAAACCAATTTTCAGACTAGCACAATGAAAGTCACAAGCCACCGCACTAGTAGGATAAAGCCGGCGGCATGGGCCACAGCAATTCAGAATGCAGCACCAATTGGAATGGTGCCATGAAGACCTTTTCAAACTCAGGGTAGGTGAAAAAGAACTCCGCCGAGGTCCTCCCAACCAGAACCAGCACTTCATCGACGCTGGGCAGCTCATCTGCAGCTTTCTTGTAGGTTTTCGGCAGGGAGGAGTCCGGATCTGCCTCACCTTCAGAGAGCTTCTGCACCTTGAGGCACAGGCGCAGCATCTTCTGATAACCGGAGAAGACCAACTCGTGGCAGTTGGCCTCTTCCATGGGCATCTGAGTGCCTGTGGGCCTACCTGGATGAACCATCGAGCTCCATGACCGCAGCACGCGAACTCCATGCAGTTCGGTGAAGTGCAGTATTCGCACGGCCGAGAGGAGGGCTGGAAGCTCCCCCTTCTCATTGGGCCGCGGGGTGGTGCCTACCTGCACTTCAGGCACCTTTCTCATCTCGGCACTCAAGGAATGGAAGAGCTCCAAAGCCTTGAAGATCAGCTCAGTCGGGCCTTCCAACAAATGCAAAGCCACTGACTGTGTGTAGAGCAGGATCCCATTCAGCGCCTCGAAACGGCTCTTTCTCCACTCACTGAACTCCTGGTCGATGGCCCGTTGCACCTTCCGATCGTCCGTGCAGTTGAAGGAGAAGAGTAGCCGTGAGGTGAAGTTCTGCGCCTTCAGCTGTCCTTCCAATCGATCCAGCAAGGCGGTTCGCTTGGTTTCCATGGCCAACTCATCCATGGTCTCGGTCGCCTCAATGACAAAAATATCATCCGTCAATGGTCATAGCTAGGCTGAGGCCCTTTGGTAGGTCACACCCAGAAATTGGACAGAGTATAGTGACCCTTAAATATATAACTATGTAAATATATATATATCACACCGATTTTCCGCAGTTTCCAAGGTTGCCCTGCCCTGCGTCT